GGGGTTCATGCTGAAGAAACTGGAAATGTAAATGGTCCCTTTCCCCTCATGGGAGCACAAGCGGAGCCACTTCTCTTGAGCTCTGTCTATGTAGGGTATAGTATTTGTGTTTGTAGTTGTGCAAGGCTTAATGTCTGGTGTTTATGTGGGGTCTTGTCTATGTTTGTGTAGGGCTTAGTCTCACTGTTTATGTAGGATATTACAATATCCTTGACTTGTGTATTGTACAAGCCTTAACTAAGGACACACAATGTGTCAGACAATGATGTGAATGATGGAGCCTGAACCCTCTTTACGGCTTGGGAGGAAGGACGTGGGGCCCCAGAGGGCCTGGGATTTGGGCTCCACCTTCATTTTGGAGTTTCTGCAAACCCCAGCCCTATATAAGGGCAATGAGGTGTCTTTATGGCTACTTGCACCCCACCCCTGACCCCAGCTCCAGCAATACCCCAACACACAAAACTAATTCCCAGAGCAGGTATCCATGTACACCCTCCCCCCCCCCACTAGACCTCATTCACCTCTCACAGCTGAGCATAGAACCCAGGAGTCCTGGCTCCCCTCCACCCCCACATCCTGCTCTAACCACAAGGTTCCTAGATTATAAAGCCAGAAGGGACAATTGTGATCATCTAGTCTGTCCTCCTGTATAACCTGTTCCAGTGTCTATTTAAAGCACTGGAGCAGGTTACTTGGGGAGGCAGCTGAATTCCCATCAGTGGAAGTTTTTAAGAACAGGTTAGACAAACACCTGGCAGGGGTAAGCCAGGTTTACTTGGTCCTGCCTCCCGCAGGTGGGTGGCCTAGATGACCATGTTAGGTCCATTCCAGCCCTACATTGCTATGATTATATAACACAGGGTATAGGACTTCTATGAATTAATCCCTGGTTGCACTAGACTAGAGCAGATCTGCAGAGCCGCCCAGAGGATTCAGGGGGCCTGGGGCGAAGCGGGGGAGCTTGTACTCACCGGGTGGCGCGCTGAGTCTGCGGTGGCAGCATTTCGGCGGCTGGGGGCCCTTCAGTTGCTCCGTGTCTTCAGCAGCACTGAAGGGCCCCCCGCCGCCGAAATGCCGCTGAAGACCTGGACCGCCACCGGATGAGGAAAGGGATTCTCGGCCAGGGCTTGCAGGGCCCCTGCGGGGCCTGGGGCCTGGGGCAAATTGCCCCACTTTCCCCCACCGGGCGGCCCTGCAGATCTGTCAGAAAAACATCCCGTTTTGATTTAAACATCGCCAGTGATGGCAAATCCGCCACAGCTGTGGATAAATTGTTCCAACAGTTAATTACCTGCACTGTTAAAAATGTAGGTGTCTTATCCCTAGTCTGAATGGGGCCAGCTTCAACTTCCAGCCCTTGGCTCTTGTTAGACCTTCGGCTGCTCTATTGCAGCTCCATTATCTAATTTCTGTTCCCCACGTAGGTGTCTAGCCTGTGATCAAGTCACCCCTTAGCCTTCTCTTTGTTAAACTAAACAGATCGAGCTCCTGGAATCTCTCACTCTGAGGCCTGTTCTCTAAGTCTTTAGTCATTCTCATGGCTCTTCTCTGAGCCCTCCAATTTATCAGTGTCCCTCTTGCACTGTGGGCACCAGGACTGGATGCGGGATTCCATCAGCGGCTGCACCAGCGCCACATACTGAGGTAACAGAACCTCTCTTCTCCTAGTCGAGATTCCCCTGTTTACACACCCCAGGATCGCATTAGCCCTTTTAGTCACAGTGTCGCACTTGGGAGCTTGTGTTCAGCTGATCATGCGCCATGAGCCCCAAGCCCTCGTCAGAGTTCCCTGTCCTGAAAGTGTGGCCGGCGTTCTTTGTTCCTAGAGGTGTATGTTTACATTGGCCCATATTACAACACACATTGTTTGCTTGAGCCCAGCTTACTCAGGGAGCCAGATCGCTCTGTATCCGTGATCTAACGTCATTAGTTATCACTCTCCCAATCTTTGTGTCATCTGCAAACTTTCCGTGATGATTTGATGTTTTCTTCCAGGTCACTGATAAAAATGTTAACTAGCATAGGGCCAAGAGCAGCTCCTTTGGGACCCCACTAGAAACACTCCCATTCAATGATGATTCCCTGTGGACAGTTACGTTTTGCGACCTAGCACTTAACCAGCTTTACCCCATTTAATGTGTGTCATGTTGGGTTTGTATTGTTCAAGGTTTTGTATCACAATGTCATGCAGCATCACGTCAAATGCCTTACAGAAGTCTCAATATATTGCATCAGCTTTATTACCTTTATCAACCTAACTTGGAATTTCATTGACAAATACATCAAATTAGTTGGACAGGAGCTATTTTCCATAAACCCACATTGATTGGCATTAATTATATCACACTCCTATACTTCTTTATGAATTGAGTCCCATCATATCTGCTGCCCCATGTCTTGCCTGGGATTGATGTCAGGCTGACAAGCCTGTAATAACACAGGTCCATCCTTTGACCCTGTTTAAATGTTGGCACAACATTAGTGTTCTCCCAGTCCTCTAGAACAGGGCTTCTCAACCTTTTTCTTTCTGAGCCGCCCCCCCCCCCCCGCCAACATGAGATAAAAAATCCACGGCCCACCTGTGCCATAACAACTGGTTTTCTGCATATAAGAGCCAGGGCCTGTGTTAGGGGTAGCAAGTAGGGCAATTGCCTGGGGCCCCATGCCACAGCGAGCCCCGCACAGCTAAGTTGCTCAGGCTTTGGCTTCAGCCCCAGGTGGCAGGGCTCAGAGCCCCACGCTTCAACCCCATGCAGTGGGGCTTTGGCTTTCTACCCTTGGCCCCAGTGAGTCTAATGCTGGCCCTGCTTGGAGGACCCCCAGAAACCTGCTCGCGGCCCCCCCCCCAGGGGGCCTTGGTCCCCTGGTTGAGAACCTCTGTTCTAGAACTTCCCCAGTGCTCCAAAACGTATTGAAAAATCAATCCTAATGGTCCAGAGAACACCTCGGTCAGCTCTTTTAATACATTTGGATGCAAGTTACAGGGCCTAGCTGATTAAGAAATGTCTTAACTTTAGTAGATGCTGTTTAACATCCTCCAGAATTACTATTGGAATAGAAAGTGTTTCATCACCACCATCATCATATAATATGAACACATTATCTGGCTTTTTCTCAAATACAGAACACAAATAGTTATTGAATACTTCTGCCATTTCTACATTATTATTGACAATTTTGAAATTTCCATTTAGTAATGGACCAATGTTGTTTTGGTCTTAATATTCTTGAAAAAAATTCCTTCTCGTACTTAACTCTGCTGGCCAAACATCACTCCTGGTGTCCTTTTGCTTCTCTCATTAATTTTCTACAATTCCTAGCTTCTGATTTATATTCATGGCTATTGACTTCCCTTCTTTCCCATATCTATCTACCTATCTATCTCTCTATCTATCTATCTATCTATCTCGTTCATTTATTGTAATGAACTGCCCTCACTTCATCTCCAAGAGAGGTGGGTTCTTTCTTGATTGTGGCTTTTTAGGCTTCTATTAAAATGTTCTTAAACAATTCCTAATTATCATTCACATTTTTCTCATTAAATTCTGCCTCCCAGCTGACTTGGTTCCTTTTAGCTTTCAGCCTTGTGAAACTAGACCTTTTAAACATAAGTTAATATATTGCTAGTTTGGAGTTTATTCTGTTTATACATAACAAATGTGATCAAGTCATGATCACTTGCACCTAAGCAACAACAAATTTTTAGTTCTGTGCTCAATTCCTCTTTATCTGTCCAGATGAGGTCCAATATAGAATTCCCTCATGTTGGATGCAACACTCTGAGCTAGGAAATTGTCATTTATAATTGCGATCTATAATATATAGAAATTCCAAAGATGTTTTAGCACTGACAGCAGGAGGCCTCCAGCATATGTCACTCAGATTGAAGCCCCCATGATCCCACTGTTTATTCCCCCTCTACTCATTAAAAACAGCTGTGGAAGGAGCCAGGCATCCTGTTCCCTAGTGGATTTGGTGGCATGTAGAAGACACCATCTAGTAACCAATCTATTGTTTTATCTGTTAGGACATTGATCCATCAGCATTGTAAATCATTTGCTTCTGAGCTGTCGGTGACTCAGACACACATAATGCCATATTTGACACACCCCTTGCCTTTTTGCCCACTTGATCCTTCCTAAATAGGTTATAACCATTGATTTTTAACATTCCAACCCGACTCCCGTCCCAGAGCCAGGTATAGAACTCAGGAATCCTGACTCCCAGCCCCTCCCACCAGGCTTGAACACCCCTCTCTGTTCCTGCCTCCCCCCCTTCTCTCAGCCCTCCCCTGTGCCAGCTCTCAATCTAATTCCCTGTTTCTTTCCCCCCTGCAGCGAGAGCGATTGAAAAACATTGAG